GGTTGCAGTTTATGACTGATTATGCTCATCATTACATGACCTCAACCCCCAGAGCTAGAGTTGTGCTCTCCATCGGACTTGTAAATCCGTATATTTAGATGCAGATCTTCGCCCTTTCTTTCCTCAAACACACACCCCCCACGTGACTCACATATGCCCGTGTCATCGGGCATGGCTGAACAACCATTGGTTGTCATATCTTATGAGTCACGGGGGTATATACCATCATTTGAGGTTCCGGATTGGCCGGAATGCCAAACGCCCATTCGAGGCGGAACTTGCATACGTCGCTCAGCCTGATCTATTATGACCCAGCTGAACTAAACTCCATTTTCATATCCTTTTGCTATTGGTCTATCCCCCTACTTAAGGGAACAACGAGGTGGTTGAGGTCACGTTCTGAAGAAGGGGGCATGACCCGGAAACACGTCAACGACACCACAACACAGTGGCACACAGGCTGATTGCAGTCCTGAAACTGCTATTTCTTTGAAATCTTCTATACAAGGTGTTATTTGACCTACCATTGTGAGTACCTTTGCTCTCTTACTTTTGTGTCTTTTAAAATAAAAAATAATATGCACTAGGTTGGGCGCCCTTCTGTCCTTTTTTGTATTCCAGTTCTACAGTTCCCCCCGGCTGAAGTGGGACAGCACCCCAGGTTCCGGTCATAGCGCTTTGACTATACTATATCAGCAAAGAATCTGTGAAACCTTGCTTGGAGAAGAGCCATACAGATCAATCTTTTGTGCACTGAACTGGACTCTCAGAACTTACAAATCCAAGACTTTTTAGGTATTCTCTTTTTATTCCTTTTTATTTTACTGTTGTTATAGGAGCTACTTCATTGAATAGAAACATTGGATACCATTATTACTCCTTTTTTTCTGTTGGATTCCACGGAAAAAGTTAAAATATTGAGAAACTGAGTGTCATGTCACTAGCTGGAGTGTCACACATACGCAGGCTGCGCTCTTTTGCATTTGCCATTTAGTGTGAAGTAGCACCTTCCAACCACTGTTCCCTATCGCAAGAGACATGCAGGTTCACCCTGGTTAGTCCTTGCTGCCTCCTACATTGGCCTGATAATCTCCAGCCATTTGGACCTCTCCTGCTACCAGCAATTGGTTTGTGAGTGCTCAAGGTTTTGCCTTGTATTAGATCTATGTTATTCATGCTTGAGGTGCAACATGTCAGATCGAAAAAAAAAGTCAAGTAATCCCACTTAGGCTATAAGCTGGGAAGAAAAACCCCCTTCTCTTTTTACTCCTGGGCTCTTCCAGGTGACAACCTGTAGCATTTCCACTATCCAGGCAAGGGTCATGGCAGATTGCAATCAGTAGCGTATCTGTTATGCAGGCACAGGTCATTGCAGGCAGCAATTAGTGGTGCGTCCATTATCCAGGCAAGAATCACGGCACGCTGCAATTATAGCATATCTGTTAACCTGGCAAGGGTCAGCAAATAAGAACAGTCAGAGACAAAGCACTTTGTAAGGCACTAGGTACAGGAGCCAGGAAGCTTAACGCTATCACAAGCACAAAACCCTGAGCTTGTGATGTTCAAATTGGGTACCACAGCTCTACTGGCCAATCAAGCACAGGAGGTGGAACAGGCAGCACCGAGCCACTGCCTAGCATCGGGGACGCCTCAGCACCACCCAGGGGGAGCAGACTCTCAGACTGAGAAAGAGAGCAGCTGAGCGGTGGCTGCAGGGAGAGACAGAAGAAGCAGCTGCAGAAATATAAAGACAATAGTGTCCCGTGCTCCCAGATTCAACAGCAAACTGAACATGTGGAGGTCTTCAGGTGGTAGAAGCAGTGGATGCTCTGGTGGCTCCATGGCATCAGTACAACCTGATCTGTGCATTTCCTCCACAAAAACTCCTTTCTTATCTGCTCCACAGAATCGAGATGAATAGCATTCTGGTGATCCTCATAGCTCTGGACTGACCCAGGTTGTACACCGATATGATTAAACTTGTGGCAGTTGCTCTATCAGCTTTTCCAGGTAGACAAGATCCTCTATTACAAGGTCGGAATTACCATCCTGCTTCAGGGTTGCTTTATTGGCTTTATTGGCATGACTGTTGAAGCCTGGGTCTTGAGTGACAGAGGCCGGTATGACTTGGTGATCCCTACAATGTTAAAATACAAGAAATCCACTTCCCACAAGGTCTATCATTGTAACACTTACTGCTCAACAAGGGTTAAATTATGGATCTCAGCTGCGGATCTAGGTAACTATGTTTGCACTACTGAAACGACTCTGGATAAGTGTAGGCTTCCTTCAATAACAATACAATACAATACAAGATTATGGGGCCCCCTTGTGCTCTGCCCATATACAAGCCCCTCCCACAAGCCCCACCTGCATAAACATTCTTGTGTCACTGAAATTTTTTCTTCACACTATTTTTCAAATAGTGGGCCAATTCACTAAAAGATGAATTGCTGGGGAACTGGTAGGAGAATTTCAGAATCTAGACCAATATAGGCAATTTGGAAAGGGAGCTAAATGGCAGAATGCATGGCAGACCTCAGACCAGAACCAATACACGCCACACTTCAGACCAGAACCAATACACGCCACACTTCAGACCAGAAACAATGTATGACAGACTGGGCAGTTAGAATGACACATACACAACGACAGCTCTCAGCACCCGGTAGGTTTTGAATACAGCAGGGGCTTACTGGCAACTTTTAGCCCAGGGAGCAAGTACAACCCAGAGGCCCATGGTGCAGCAACTTGGCCCCCCTCCCGCTCTGCCTCTTCCCCCACCTTCTCCCCTCCCCTGCCTGCCACTTTTGGCAATTATGAAACGGTAGTGTGACTGGTCGGGTGATGTGAGGACTTCTAGTAAGTCCATGAAAGGGGTGACTGGCTGGGTCATGGTGCTCTCCTCCCACTGGGCTCCCTACATAGTTCTGGCCTTACTTTGCTACATGTCCGCTACTTAGGCACTCTTGCCCACTGTAGACAGCAGCTGGCTGTCCATGCTTCTGGGCTGTGAGCTGTGGGAGGGGCTGGATAGTGTAAAAGTCAGTGTTCTATCCTATATATTTTCTCGACTGTGTCACTTTCAGTGGTGTCGAGTCATCCGAATCAGCTGTTTCATGATCCCCTTCTTCATGACATGCACACCTGGAAGAGACGCGGTAGAGAAATGTATAGGTTGGGGAAAATTAGAAAACACTGGTAATGGAAGGATGCCTTGTCAGTGCTGTGCGCATGTATGACTGCTGCGACCCTGGTAGTTCTGCCACTAACTCCAAGCTGTAGAGGGACTACAAATATCAGCACATTATACAGCAATGCAGAATAATACCATCGGCTATAGAGGGCTATAAATCTCAGAAATACATTGTACAGCATTGCAGAATGGCATTGGCTATAGAGAACTACAATTCCAAGCAATACATTACACAACAATGCAGAGTACCAACAGCTATAGAGAACTACAATTCCAAGCAATACATTACACAACAATGCAGAATACCATCAGCTATAGAGGACTACAAATCCCAGCAATACATTATACAGCAATGCAGAATAATTATTATTAATATTATTACATAGTATTTATATAGCGCCACCAGTTTGCGCAGCACTTTACAATGTAAGGAAGACATTACAATTACAATACAATTCAAGACAGGATGGTAAGGAGGGCCCTGCCCCTGAGGGCTTACAATCTGAAAGAGGAGGGGGAAATGATACATGAGGAGGTAGCTGTGTGGGGATGAATTGTTTGAGAATGTGATGTTTCAGTGGTTAGGTTGAGGTGGGATAGGCTTCCCTGAAGAGAAGAGTCTTCAGGGAACGCCTAAAGAAGCTAATATGAATACCTAATATGAAGCTACATACTCTGTGTTGCTCTGGGTTCGCCGCCTGATGTTTCCAGGGTCTCAGGAGGGTTGTGTGGGCTCTCACCAGGGGTCCAGAGAGTTTCATGGGTGTGTGTGGGTGCAGCAGAGGTGGCTCCCTAATAATTAGTGGTGGCTCTGTGATAACTCCCAGGTGGGCAGTGGGGGCTCCCTGGTGGTTACTGGGTGCTCCCTGGTGGTTAGTGGGGGCTCCCTGGTGTAGGGTGACCATTTTTCTAGAGCTGCAGCTAACGATTATTTTCAAAATCGATTAGTTAGCAGAATATTAAATTTGATTAACTGGTTAATCGGGATTAAAAAAAAAATGGCTCCAGTGATGTCCTACTAGTTTGTATTGAGATTGTAGTCCATCACAGGAGCAAGCTTGGAGCGGCGGAAGTAAAAAAAAAAGTGTGGTGTGCAATATAGTGAAATGGAAAGTGTAAAATTATACAGCAATCAATGCAGAATGGCACCGGCTATAGAGGACTACAAATCCCAGCAATAATACATTATACAGCGCAATGCAGAATACCACCAGCTATAGAGGAATACAACAAATCCCAGCAATAGTACCTTATAGCTGGCGGTATTCTGCATTGCGCTGTATAATGTACTATTGTTGGGTTTTGTAGTCCGCTAAAGCTGGTGGTATTCTGCATTGCACCACTGTATAATGTATTATTGCTGGGATTTGTTGTACTCCTCTATAGCTGGTGGAATTCCGCATTGCGCTGTATAATGTATTATTGCTAGGATTTGTAGTCCTCTTTTCAGCGCAATGCAGAATACCACCAGCTATAGCGGAGTACAACAAATCCCAGCAATAAATTATTACACGCCGCAATGCAGAATACCACCAGATATAGAGGAGTACAACAAATCCCAGCAATAAAATATTACACGCAGCGCAATGCAGAATACCGCCAGCTATAGAGGAATACAACAAATCCCAGCAATACATTATACATATAGTGTATAATGTATTGCCTGGATTTGTATTCCTGTATAGCTGATGGTACATTGCTCTGTATAATATACAGCACAATGTACCATCAGCTATACAGGAATACAAATCCCAGCATTACATTATAGAGCACCATGTGTGGGAAAGAGCAGTCTTCTAGCAACTTGCTTCTGAGATCGGGCCTGTCTGTCGGTGGCTGTCATCCTCCCACGCCTGCTCCTCCTTCTTCTTCTCCCCCGCGTCCCGCAGGGAGGAGGTGTGGAGCGTGGTGTGTGGAGCCGTGAACAGGGTCAACTAATCGAAAGCAGATTAGTCGATGATTGAAAATGTTTTTTTCAATCATCGATTATAATCGACTTAGTCGATTAGTTGTTGCTGGGGACAGTCCCCGGATTGAGGAGACCATCCCCTGACAAATTATGTCCCCGGGAACATAAAATAAAACATTTTTTTTGTAATACTCACCTTGTCCCTGGAGAGGATACACTATTAGCATAGCGAGGAAGCCGCCTGCGCATTTTGCATAGCTCCCGCTACGCTAATAGCATATGTTCTCAGAAGCTGCACAAAGCGCACGCCGGTTTAAGTAGTAGCCAGCACTCGCTGTATGCAGCTTCTGACAGCGCGGGCGACAGGAGGCCCTCCAATCAGGCACTGTAGAGGACCCCCCGCTGGGGCATCCCGAGGCCCCCCTTGAGGAGCGAGCGGCCACCAAATCCGATTAGAGAGCCGCAACTGATCCATGGATCTGGTGAGTATTAAAAAAAAAAAAAAAGTTTTATTGTATGTTCCATGGGACATTTTAAAATCTGCATGGATTTTATTTTAAAAAACTCCCAATGTATACAGCTACGTATATCCATAGAGCTTGCCCTCAAAAGTTCCATAAAGTCTGGGGACCCTGGTTGGATGCATTTTTTGCAGTACTAGCTAGTGACAAGCAAGACTTGTGTACATCCTCACTTGTGTGTCTGAGTAGGCGGGGAATTGAGAATTGGAACTGTGTATTTTGTACTGTTGTTTATATGAAAAATCTAATAAAAACAATTTTAAAAAAAACAAAACTGGTCACTTTACCCTGGTGGTCAGTGGGGGCTACCTGGGCCCTGGTTTGTAGTGGGGGCTCTCCTGTGGCCGCACCCCCGCTAAATGAAGCCCCCAGCCACAGGTGCAGTACTGCTGGTGCACTGCTACAGATGCGGCTCTCTAATTGGGCGGCCGCTTGCTCCTCAAGGGGATTCTCGGGAGGCCCCAGCGGGCGGCCCTCTAACATGCCTGATTAGAGGGCAGCGTCTGCCTGATCCAGCCAGCCCCGATCGCATCGGTATGCGATCCGGGCTGGCTGGATCAGGCAGATGCGGCCCTCTAAAGAAACAGATATTCTGCGCTATTAGAAGAAGGAGGTAAAAGAAGAAAAAACGGATTAACTGCAAGCTGCTGAAACGTGGGCTTGGGAGCCTCAGAAATTGATTGGTCAGTAGTGCAGCGCTATAAGTCTCACGGTGTATTTAGACAGGAACCAGTGTATATGGAAAATCTGCAGATTTATATAATCATGAATAAATATGTATATAAAATAAATTCAATTTGAATCATAAGGAATGTGTTGCTGTCTTCTTTACGCAATGTGTCAATAGTGATAGATATATGTGAGAGCACAGAGAAACAAAATAAACAAAATGAATCACTCTCCAAAGAGGCTGATATACTGTGTGAACTATGTGTTTAAGCTGAATGTATAAACGTATAATGGATGTGAATCCACCCACCGTTATACAGTTGGGCAAAAAAGTATTTAGTCAGCCACCAATTGTGCAAGTTCTCCCACTTAAAAAGATGAGAGAGGCCTGTAATTGGCATCATAGGTAGACCTCAACTATGAGAGACAAAATGAGAAAACAAATCCAGACAAATCACATTGGCTGATTTGGAACGAATTTATTTGCAAATTATGGTGGAAAATAAGTATTTGGTCACCTACAAACAAGCAAAAGTTCTGGCTCTCACAGACCTGTACCTTGGGATGGTTGAGGAGGCTTCCCTTGCACCTCATGTCTTATGGCCTTTGAGGATGGTAACAGAGGCCAGGCAGACACCGAGTGGCACGAGTGCCAGTGGTTGTGGAACCGTGCAAGTTGAAGCGTAATCCGGAAAACAAAGTCGAGGCAAGCAGAGGTCAAAATCCAGGAGGTCAGATGCAGTACCGAAGGAAGAGGCAGAAGAGTAGTCCAAAAACAATCCGAGGTCAAAATCCAGGCAAACGGTGATCTAATCTTCAAGGAAACAGCATACACAACACAGACAGAAGCTGATAAGACAATCCAGCAATTTGAGAGACATGCTGGTTCGGTTTATACAGGGAAGTGAGGTAATCAATTACGTCACTTCCTGTGCGCCTTTGGCACGTTTTTCTTGGAACTCGCGCCGTATGCGCATCATTTCCTGTGCGCCATACTGCACACCGGAAACATACTATCGATGGGAAATGCTCATTGCGCGCATGCGTGTGTTTTTCTTCTTGGCGGGACTTGCTGCTTATACCCTGAAACAAGGCATATAGGAATCAGTTCATGAACCCAGCTGTATCAGTCTGAGAGTAAGTACCACCATATGCAATGTGACATCCACTTTGATTTGGTACTTGTGTTTATGCAGGACTTGAGGAGGCGTCAATCTCTAGGGAACAATGGCTCCTGATCTGTACGGACAGGTTCTCTTTAATAACAGCATTGACAGGTTGGAAGGCTGGTAGGGTGAATGAGGATTTGCACAGAAGGAGCCTCTCGTCTATAGGAAGAAGCTGAAGAGCGGTCATAATGATGACGAGGTGCAGGGGAATATTGCACGGTGTATTCACCTTGAACTGACGCCAAGCAATTGAATCTCACAACAAAGTCCAAATCCCATTCGCACTGCCACGGTCTCAAAACCACAAGGTATATGTGGTGCCCAGGTGACCACACGGATGGCGCTGTGCAAAACACTAATAGTAAATAAAAGTAATTCACCGGCACACACTTGAAGGGTTTTTAAAGTATTGATATGTTTATTCAATACCCAATGTCACATACTGTCATTCGGTGCTAACCTTTCGGATCCGCACAGGGATCCTTCATCAGAGCGACAGTGACCTGTCGCTCTGATGAAGGATCCTGTCGCTCTGATGAAGGATCCCTTCATCAGAGCGACAGAATCCTGTCACAAAAGTAACATGTTTTGGGGGCATGTTGATCCACCCTGATTAGGGCTTTCACAATAGTCTGATAAATGTTGTATTCATTTGGTCAGAGCCAGGGGTATTGGGAAAAAAACAAAAATTATTCAATGTGTAGGGCAGCTGTGCAACACCTTACAAAATGGAGGTAAACTGGGAGTGAGAGGGGTTATAGGCTGTTTGAAACATTTAATGTATTCATACATAAGAAAAGATTTTGCGAACAGATCCTGAGTAACTGGTCCCACACCCCTAATTTGGTCAACAGAAAATGAAACGAGATCAGTGGGGCTTTAATGGCACCATGTGACAAGTCCAATAAAACAGAAATTAATTAGATTAAAAAAGTATTCATTTATTGAATACAAAAAGATAAAGATAAAAAAACCATGATTGAAATTTACACGTGCAACATGATTGAAAAATACCTCCAAAAACCACTCAATTCCATAATTATGGCATATGATGTAACCAAAAATTGGTATACATGATTAGTGAGGACATATTATTCAAATAGAAAGGATAATCATAACATTCGTAAAAAATGATTGAACACAATTGGCATATATAATAAATAAATAAATGGAGGTGTGAACCAGTCCAAAATTCATATGAAAAGCCTTATCTGGAAACAGTAGAGTGGATGGTTTTATCTACTCGTTTCGCACATCGCGCGCTTCATCAGGAAGTGGAGGAAATCCAATGCAAAGCCAAACAGGCGCACCTCCAACACAGCAAGCCAAAACGGGACAGGCAAACACCCCAGATAGCAAGGGAAAGGGCCAAGGCCGCACCACCACCGAGTGGGGGATATGATAGGGATCAAACATCTATCCATCATAGCCAGCATCTGTAATTGACCAAAGAGTGGGGGAATGGAGAGCTCAAAAGGAAGCCTGCCAGTTAGCCCACTTCAAATTCCTCACGAGAGCCGCCGGTACACGCAGGGCCGTCGCCAGCCACATACAGGTTTTTTCAATCATGTTGCACGTGTAAATTTCAAATCAAGGTTTTTTATCTTTTTGTATTCAATAAAGTAATACTTTTTTAATCTAATTAATTTCTGTGTTTTATTGGACTTGTCACATGGTGCCATCAAAGCCCCACTGATCTCGTTTCATTTTCAGTTAATGTATTGATGATGAGCACACCTAAAGGAGGATAAACAAAACCAGAGCGGGGGCTGCAGGGAGAGACAGCCGTGCTCCTGGCTTCCAGATTCAACAGCAAACTAAACATGTTTGTCTTCAGGTGGCAGAAGCAGTGGATGCACTGGTGGCTCAATGGCATCAGGGGTTTATTAAGGGGGGCAGTCTTAAGTGAAGGATTTCACGCTTGTGGTGTGCAGCCCTCTTGTACACAGATGGAGGTGACCTGTGGTTGTAAATTGTAAAAAGAAAAGAGAGCGCCACAACCTAGCATAATAGGTTTTGTTACATTAGGGAAAAACAAGAATAAACTATGTTACACTTACAAAGATACTTCCGCAAGGGCATTCCACAAGGGCATTTTAAGCCATAAGATACACGATCATATGGACAGCTTATAAACTACTTATAAGATGAACAGCTTATAGGATATATTATTTCCAGAATTGTTGCAAAAATTGGACTAGCCATTGTGAATAAACTGACAAGTTAAAAATGTCAGCTTTTTGCACTGGAAAATATCCTTCCTGTTGTCTAGAAGGAAATGTTTGAGCCCATTTGAACTGATTTTAGTAAGTTTACAGGGAGCTATAGATTTTTTGATGTTTTTGGCCTTTTTGAGTATAAAGGACGGTTTTGGTGGGAGAGCTGAGCCTAGTCTTGGATCAGTCAGTAAGATATGCCAGTTTTTCTGAAGTGCTTTTTGCTCTATGGCTCTGATTGTACATGGTGATAAAATGCACATTATCTGTTCTTATTAGTGGCTTTTTTCTTCTTCCGCTTGGGATTGTATTGTCCTAAGTACTGTGAATAAACTCTCTGTATTAGGTCATTTGGCTATTCCTTCTCTTTAAAGTTTTTCTTTAGGTGGGAACTCAACAAAATGTAATCCTCAATCTATGTGCAATTTTTCTTCAATCTGCAAAATTGTCCTGACAGGAGGATTACTACATTTGACAAGTGTCGGCATAAGCTAGATCATCGTTTTGCTAAGTGGTGTTCTTCTGTGTATCGGCAGTGTAGCTTTTGTTCTACACTGCAAATAAACAGAAGAACACCACTTAGCAAAACTGGCTGGGGCCATTTGGTATAGTTTATTCTTGTTTTCCCTAATGTAACAAAACTTATTCCACTAGGTTGTGACACTCTCTTTTCTTTTTAAGTTGTAATAGGCTGGTCACTGTTTGTTTTTTATTTGCCAGTGTACAAATCCTCTTGTAGGCAGCAGTGTAACCCAATTGGATTTTACGGTGAATACAAAAACCCAATTGTCTTTCATCATTGGGAATGGGGGCACATATACTGTATGCAATTGTGCCCTGTTTGGTCATTTCAAACACCCACATATTAATCTTTTGTTATATACAGTATAGAGTGCAGATTTAAAACTCAGTTTGCATCCCCTCTCCCAACTCTCCTATCCCACCCACCCCGTATGTTATTTAAAAATTTTTGTTAAATAGTTTAATACTTACTTTTTACAGCTGATTTAAGACCGGCCACATGATGCAGAGGGTCCTTTTCCACTTCACCTTTTCTCTGGAGCTAGGCTTTAAGATGCTGGCAATTTTGGTTAAAGTGGCACTATACTCAAGAATTAAACCTTAAACATGCATTCAATTTCCTTATCTATTAACACAAATGTGGTTTATTTGTGCATCACTCAGCTGTAGATCCTCAAATCATCTGTGAATTTGTGCTGACACTGTCCTTTCTTTTGGAGGGTGGCTACTTTTATTCCCTATAGTCCCTGTGTGCAGTGGCGACTCTAGGAACAATATATAGGAGGGGCACATAAGATACCACAGTCAAATCTGGGGGGGGCACTAATAATTTTCATTGCATATCGCAACCGCTGGTCGCCGAGAGCTGATTTAAATGCGGATGGCATCTGCGCCCTGCGGTTCCGACATGTAGTCCAATGCCGCCCACAATCCTGAATACCGCACCCGCCGACGCCATCCGCAATTAAATCAGCGCCCAGTAGGTGCGGAATACCGCAGGGGCTGACTGGCAACTTTTAGCCCAGGGCAAGTACAACCCAGAGGCCCATGGTGCAGCTACTTGGCCCCCCTCCCGCTCTGCCTCTTCCCCCGCCTTCTCCCCCCCCCGGGCCTGCCACTTTTGCCATCCATGTAACAGTAGTGTGAATGGTCGGGTGATGTGAGGACTCCTAGTAAGTCCATGAAAGGGGTGACAGGCTGGGGGATGGTGCTCTCCTCCCACTGGGCTCCCCACATAGTTCTGGCCTTACTCCCTTACTCTCTATGTCTGGTACATAGGCACTCTCGCCCACTGTAGACCGCCGCTGACTGTCAGGCATGTCTTGAGGAGCGAGCTGTCACCCGATTACAGAGCCGCTTCTGTAGCGGTGCAGGTGGGGGAGGGAGGGAGCCACTGCACCAGCGGCCGGGGGCTTTCTTTAGCCAGGTCAGTCCACCCCTGGATCCGCCACTCAGGGCCGGTGCAAGGATTTTTGCCGGCACAGGCGAAGGCAGATTTTTGCGCCCCCCCTTAGTTGGCTGCCTATACATCCTTGCACTAGCACTAGCCTGGACCACATTGCTAGGGTGTAACATGGTATTAACACTTAGGTGTTAACCCTTAATAGGTTAAACACTGAACCTTGGGGGGACACCACTAACAAACTCAGACCATTC